CTGAATCTAGGACTCTGGGAAGTGCCAAGGGGGCAGATTGCTCAAGGTCAGGAGTTCAAAACCAGCCTGACGAGACCCCGTGTGTCTACTAAATAGAAAGAAATAATTGACCAACTAAAATATATATACAAAAAATTAGCCGGGCATGGTGGGCGCATGCCTGTAGTCCCAGCTACTTGGGAAGCTGAGGCAGTAGGATTGCCTGAGTCCAGGAGATTGAGGTGCTGTGAGCTAGGCTGATGCCACGGCACTCTAGCCAGGGCAACAGAAGTGAGACTCTGTCTCGGGGGGGGGGGGATATATATATAATATATAACGTCAGCCTACTCACTTGGTATGCTATTTTAAAAGATTCCTTTAGTCCTTAGTTAATAAAATTCATTCATGCTGTCACTATTCAAAAATATATCAAAATTGTTCAGTTAAAGACACAACCATTGGATTATAAATTATTTCATTTCCTTCTATCTTTCCACACCCCGAAATTAGTGAGGATCCTTGGCTTAGCACTCCAGAGACCATCTGGCTTACATGTTTCCCAGGGCCATTTCTTCTGCCAGGTGAGATAAAAAAGGATGTGAATTCAGTTTTGGTATCAAGAGCAGCTGCTTCTTTGAAAGATCTTTTTTCAAGGGCAAATCTCATCAGCCTGGTGACCTCAACTGGGTTCTGGAACCTGCCCAGGTCGTCAGAGATGGGCTGGCAGAGAGATGTTGGTTGTGCCCTCTCTGGGCTGCACTCAGTGAGCTTCGATTAGTTTGAGGAAAAAGGATGAATCCTTAGGGATCTTGTTAAAGAAATGAAACAAGTTAATGGCCAGATAAGCTGGAGTAGAGCAGAGGGAATGCTCTGTGACGTGGCAAGATGCCCACTTATATTGTTAAGTGAAACAAGGGTGGTTTTCTATAAAATTTTAGCACAGTTTGATTCAATTTTGTAAAAACTGATTTAGTTAGTACCAGAATGTTCAACTTTGGCTATCTTGGTGGTGAGATTCTGGGTAATTTGTATTATTTTCTTTTTACTCATCTGTATTGTCCAAACTTTCTACAATAAATATGTATTATTTAATAATGTGAAAACTAGTTTAAAAGTTATTTAGGCCAGGACTTGGTGGCTCATGCCTGTAATCCTAGCACTCTGGGAGGACAACGGTGGGAAATTCACTCAAGGTCAGGGTTCAAGACCAGCCTGAGGCAAGAGTGAGACCCCTGTCTCTACTAAAATAGAAAGAAATTAGTGGACAACTAAAAATATTATATAGAAAAGGATGAGCCAGGCGATCGGTGGGTGCACGCAAGGAAGAAAGGAAGAAAGAAAGAAAGAAAGAAAGAAAGAAAGAAAGAAAGAAAGAAAGAAAGAAAGAAAGAAAGAAAGAAAGAAAGAAAGGAAAGAAAGGAAGAAAGCAAGCAAGCAAGCTGGTTCCTGCTCTGGATGCTCCTCAGGCCTCCTGGTCAGCCATCAGATTACATTGTTTTCTTCCCTTTAAAAGCCTCTGGGAAACATCAAGAAGTCTTGGATTTGTTTTAAAACATTTAAGAGACGGAGATGGCATGGAGTAGATATGATGCATCTTCATAAAACCTTTGAATCTAGGTGATGGCATGTGGGAATTCATTATACTGTTCTCTTTACTTTTGAAAATGTTTGAAATTTTCAACATGAAAACAAATTTTTTCTTTTCCTTTTTTTTAAATTATGTTTAGAGACAGAGACTTGCTCTGTTTCCTAGGCTGGAGCGCAGTGGTGTGATCATAGCTCACTGCAGTCTCTGAACTCCTGGGCTCAAGCCATCGAGCCTCCCATGTAACTGGGATTACAGACACCCACCACCATGCCTGGCTAATATTTTTATTTTTTGTAGAGATGTGGTCTCACTATGTTACCCAGGCTGGTCTCAAACTCCTGGCTTCAAGTCATCCTCCTGCCTTGGCCTTCCAAAGTGTTGAGATTACAGGCATGACCCACCACGCCTGGCCTGAAAAAAAATTTTTAATGAACCCATAGGCATCATTAACTAATTCCCCCATACCACATTAGTCTGGCTCCTTCAGGCTGACCTCCCTGACCTACTCTTTCTAATCCTGTCTAGCTTTCCTCAAATGCTATTTTTATCATGTTGCTTTCTTGCTCAGAAACCACTAATAGTCCCCTTTGGTGTCTCACAACAGACCCAAACTGCACTGCCTGATTTTCAAATGTAACCATGATTTGGGTTTAGCCTTCCCAGACTGTCTGGTTTCATACTAATCTCCAACCAAACCCTGCAAGTCCAGGCCAGACTGCTCTGGGCTCCACAAATTCTCATCATTTAGAAATCTCTGGCCAGGCGCGGTGGCTCACGCCTGTAACCCTAGCATTCTGGGAGGCGGAGGCAGGTGGATCGCTCAGGGTCAGGAGTTCGAGACCAGCTTAAGCAAGAGTGAGACCTTCGTCTCTACTAAAAATAGGTTTTTTGGCCATCGAAACCTTCTTGGGAGGAGCAGAGTCAAAGTGTTATGGGGTTTACTGGTTTACTAGGATCAACTCCAAAATAAACAACTTGCTGTCTGGGCACGGTGGCTCACACCTGTAATCCTAGCACTCTGGGAGGCCAAGGCGGGAAGATCACTCAAGTTTAGGAGTTCAAAATCAGACTGAGCAAGAGCGAGACCCTGTCTCTACTATAAATAGAAAGAAATTAATTGGCCAACTAAAAATATATAGAAAAAATGGGCCGGGCATGGTGGCACATGCCGGTAGTCCCAGCTACTTGGGAGGCTGAGGCAGGAGAATCACTTGAGCCCAGGAGTTTGAGGTTGCTGTGAGCTAGGCTGACACCACAGCACTCTAGCCCGGGCAACAGAGTGAGACTGTCTCAAAAAATAAATAAATAAATAAACAAACAAACAAACAACTTGCTCAAGGTCTGAGACAATAATGATCAAGACAGCCAAGGTCCCTGTTCTCACAAAACAACACACATTTTTGCATTCAAGCTGTTTTTTAGCCCTTCCTGCACCTGTGCATGCAGCCATGGAGCTCAGTCAGGCGCCGACTCCCAGCTTTGGTGTGCAAGGCATCCACATTTTGGGTCGTCAACCAGTACAGCTTTCCGAGTTTCTCCCAGTTGCTCAAAGCCCAGTGTGCAGGGTTAGGCTGGTGGGACGAGAACTGAGGCCAGCCCACAAAGTTCCGCGCCCAGTACCGCTGGCGGATTGGAGCACTCTGCACGAAATCCCTGTGTTGGATGGGCTTCCGGTCAGTGCGTGCATAAAGTCCCACATTTTCTGACCTGTAGTCTGGGATCCCCGACTCGGTAGAGATTCCCGCCCCAGTCATCACGAAGAGTCTCTTGGAAAGGGTGATGAAGCGTTGTAACTCTTTGACCTTCTCAGGGTCCAACGGAGGACTTGGTGGCACAAATGACACAATGGATCCACGGGAACACTGCCGGCTGACGTTCTCAACCCAACGGCCTTTTGCTGACCTGAAAGCCAACCCAAGGCTCATCCTCATTCTAGAGAAAAAGAAACCTCATGTGAGAAACAGGGTTTTAAAAACAGAGGTAACCACCAATGGGTGAATGACAAACAAAATGTGGTCTGTCCACAGGATGGACAAAAAAAAAACTGTAAAAATGAATGAAGTGCTGATACATGCTACAACATGGATAAACATTGAAAACATTATGCTAAATCCCCAAGTGGTGACTCACGCCTGTAATCCCACTACTCTGTAGGCTGAGGCAGGAGGATCACTTGAGCCCAGGAGTTTGAAGTTGCTGTGAGCTAGGCTAACGCCACAGCACTCTAGCTCAGGCAACTGAGTGAGAGAGTGAGACTCTGTCTCAAATAACAATAACAATAATAATAATACTTTTGGGGGGTCAATAATCTCTCATACCTTCCATAAAATAAAATCTTATCTACACAATAAACTATTTCATAACATCCTAAGCCAATCTTATCTTCCTGACCTCTTAAGAACCTAAGCCAGAGATCTATGCCACAGCCCTCTAAATGGCAATTAACTTCAAATGACTGGTGAATCTGCCAAGGCTTTCTGCATCCAAGGGGAAATATATTATTTTGAAAGGGGAGGGGAGGAGAGAAAAAAATGATAAAGTGGTATACTATCATAACATAAGGCCTGTTCCATCTATTCCAGTAACACCTGACTTGACAGAACTGAATTCCTTATAAACTTCAAAAGGTTAATGGCTTGGCCGGGCGCAGTGGCTCACACCTGTAAACCTAGCACTCTGGGAGGCCCAGGCAGGAGGATTGCTCAAGGTCAGGAGTTCAAAACCAGCCTGAGTGAGACCCCGTCTCTACTATAAATAGAAAGAAATTAATTGACCAACTAAAAATATATATACAAAAAAAATTAGCTGGGCATGATGGCACATGCCTGTAGTCCCAGCTACTCGGGAGGCGGAGGCAGTAGGATTGCTTGAGCCCAGGAGTTTGAGGTTGCTGTGAGCTAGGCTGATGCCACAGCACTCACTCTAGCCTGGGCAACAAAGTGAGACTGTCTCAAAAAAAAAAAAAAAAAAAAAAGGTTAATGGCTTACCCCAATAACCTTTAAATCTCATAATAGTCTGTTATTGTTCCATCTATGGCTACATCTAAAGATGTCTGTATAAAAGGAATACATTTATCTATATTTTTAGTTAATACCATCCCTTGGGAGACTATGTGTTCCATAAACCTACTTTTTATTTTATAAATCAGAATTGTCTTCTTTCTCCACAAGCTACAGAAGCATATTTGAGTTCCAGTAGACTAGTTTTGTTCTTTTGGTTTTTTTTGAGACAGTGTCTCGCTTTGTTGCCCAGGCTAGAGTGAGTGCCGTGGCGTCAGCCTAGCTCACAGCAACCTCAAACTCCTGGGCTCAAGCCATGGGACTATAGGCATGCGCCACCATGCCCAGCTAATTTTTTCTATATATAGTAGTTGGCCAATTAATTTCTTTGTATTTATAGTAGAGATGGGGTCTCGCTCTTGCTCAGGCTGGTTTCAAACTCCTGACCTTGAGCAATACCCGTCTTAGCCTCCCAGAGTGCCACCACGCCCAGTCTTAGACTAGGTTTTGATGGAGTTGTTCATCAGACCTCTCAGGCTTTTGATTTTATTCATGATTTATCCTCCGATGCAAACTCTGCTGTTTGGACACAGCAGAGAGACAAGACCACTGTGTGTCGGCTTTTCTAACTTTAAAAACAAAACTTTGAAATATTTGATAGAATGCATAAGATCCACTGGTGACAGGCACCCCATATGTAAGCATTATTTTATGCTTGGCTTCCCAGCCCTGAGTTGAGGACCTGGCTTTCTTTTTGACATTCCTCAGCAGCAAGAGAACAGCACAAAGTCGGATTTCCTGAGACCAAAAGGCCACGGACTCCCCACTGAAAACGCGCTCCCTTGGAACAGCTGCTGTCCTCCCGGTCCCACCCAGGGCAAAGAGGAGAAAGGGGATCCCTGGCAAGAAATCCACCCCTTCTAGAAACACCCACAGAACACACACTTACCTTCCACAGCTCAAGGGACACTTCACACCCGACAGTGGGACTGTCTGGTTACATTTGCATTTTGGGAAGTGTAGTTCATGGAGCTGAAATGGAGCAAGAAAAACTACAATTCCCACAATCCCCCGCGCCGCACCCTTGAGGGACCAGGCCCGTCTGGGAACACCTCCTGTTGGCCTTTCCTGTCAGAGGTTGTGAACCTCAGTTTGCCAGGGGCCGCTCTACCTGAGCCAAGGATACATTGTCTTCTCTCTCAGACAGAAGTGGCTAGAGCTTCGGTGACAATGTCCTGAGTGCAAAATAGCACATCCAAACAGCGCTAACTTAACAATTCATCCTGTCTTAAGATAGCTTTTAATAATGGCTCTTGGCCGGACGCAGTGGCTCAGGGGTGTAATCCCAACACTTTGGGAGGCTTAGGCAGGGAGGATCAGTTGAGGCCAGAAGTTCAAGGCCAGCCTGAGCAAGACTGAGACCCCCGTCTCTACTACTACTAACAATAATATTTTAAAAATTGATCTCGTTTTGACTCATCCTGATCCTCAGTGTTTATGATCCTTTCCATTCAACATGACAGAATCAAGTTCCCTTCACAACTTAGTTTCCAAATATCTGAAAAATTTATGTTTTTACAGTCAGTATGAACAATTAAAGGCACATTATACAAGAACTAATGTGTTACCCACATGGCTTTTCCAATTCTATTTCTCATCTTGTATTTTAATTAAATTAATCAACACAATGCCTGCATCTCGCAGAGATCCTGATCTACAAACTTCCTACGTATAGCCAATGAGAACTGCTGCTCTGTAGCATCGCCTACATAAGACGTCAATTAATTTACAAGTGTCTTAGGACCTAATCAAGGAGCAGCTAGCAAGGACCCTGAAGACCACCTGAGGACCCCTTTACCCCATTTTAAGATGAACCGAGATCTGGGTGCAGCGGCTCGCACCTGTGCTCCCCAGCGCTTTGGGAGGCTGTAGCAGGGGGATCGCTTGAGGCCAAGAGTTGGAGACCTGGCCTGGGCAACATAGTAAGACCCTCCCTCCAAAAAGAAAAAAAGAAAAATTGAAAAACATGTGCCAGGCATAGTGGCACGTACCAGGCCAAGCATTGGAGATTGCAGTGGGCATCCTCCAATGAATCCATCTTGCTACTGCACTCAAGTCTGGGTGACAGACAGAAATTGACCCTAGTCTCTAAGCAAACAAACAAACAAACTGAAGCCCAGAAGAGTAATATGGAAGTTTGAGGCAGAGTTTGGTGTTTGGTCCTATCATTGTATGTATGGAGGTAACATTGATAAAATGATTCATTTTAGTTTGGGATGTGAGACAAAGTAGCGAACATAAGAAGCCATATTTTCTCATTTTTGCTTGCCACATAATTTCACAAAGCCCGACTCTGTGATCATGTGCAGTTCTCAGAAAGACACTTTGAAAACAGGAGAGAGCGCAAGACCACCCCACACCCCCCATGTCTCTAGCCTGAGTCACCATATTCCTTAAAAGGTAAATGACTCTAATCCTTAACCTTTTCCTGCACATAAAATAACATCTGATGGGGTTAGTGATTACGCTTCTGTAGTCTATAGCCAGATGCACTCTTTCACCTAAACCTTGATGCGATTCTGCTTTAATGTAACTTCCGAGCAAGTCTGAAGTGCTTTTGCAGGTACGGAACCCCCACCACCTTATATATAAGCAGTGGCTGAACTACTATTGTGTTGGAGCAATCTGACATCACTGCTCCTGGACTATAGGCCTTAGCCTATAGTGCTCAGTGAGAGGAATTCAAATAAAACTAACTTTAATTCTTTAAAAGCTTCATTATTTTTTCTTTAGTCGACAGGGAGTAATAACCTCCAGCAACAATGCAGATAAGTCACTAGCTGTAGGATCTCCTAAGCCAGGAGAATCACCCAACAGCCCTTTGTGGCTTAGTTAACCTGACCATATCTGCTGAAAGAAAGGACCAGAATGTAAACAAAAGATTTTGTTAAGTCAAAAAATTATAATGCAGCATATTTTTTGCACACATTTTATAGGTATTTGATAAAAACCTATAAAAGTGTCAAAAACAGTCACCTCCCTCCACCAATGTTATTTTTTAAAAGTTCAAACTCATGTTATTTTTTCAGTTCTCCGTGTGGAATGAGCACCACTAATAGAGACTGGCTGGGAATTCAGGACTATTGTGCTTTTAGGCCCCAAAGAATCTCATGTTCTGGGGAGAAGTTAGCTGGCTTTTCAGTTTTTCTCATAGTGCTGAAAAGTCATCCATAGAGGGTGAAGTCATCCAAGACAACTAGTGAAACACGATTTCCCTTGATAGCTTCTGATAGAGTGTCATGAGCCACCCAATTGAGACATTCTCAAGGGCTGACCAGTTCCTTTTGTACCCTTGTGGGATTAGAGCTTTAGTCATTTTATTTCTCACAATTCCACCCCACCCAGAATTAATGACTAAGTCTTTGATTAGATCAAAGTAAAATAATATAAATTAACTAAATTTCTAGGCTTTTCTCTTTTTTTCTACTGGGTTTTCCTACCCTGCAGTAGTTATGGCTGTGACAAAAATAAATAACTACACATTGACATCAAACAGGCCTTTAAAAATGTCATTTTTGTATACAGATGATGAGTACATGAATGTTAATTGAGCAATTCTTTGAACTTTTTGTGTTGCGAATTTTTTATAATAAATGTTAGGGAAGTGTCACTTTCTTGCAGACTTGCTATTTGCATTTTAATGTGTACCAAAAACCAAAATAAAAGTATTTTGGAGAATATAGGCCGGAAACAAGAGCTGTTCACTAGGTTCCCTATTTGCAGTGTAACCATCCTCTCTGAAGAAGTTTTTTGTTTTGTTTTGTTTTTGTTGTTTTATTGTGGTAAGGTATATGTAACAAACAAGTCCAGATACAGGTTTCTAAGAGATTTCTACTTCCCAAAGGAAAACAAGCAGTGAGGGTGAAAGTCACTTTAAATTTCATATACTATGAACCTTTCTATGGAAATAAAGCCTTGTCCTTTCAGCCTCTTTCTTCTGAATTAAGATGTCCAAAGAACACTCTTTTGAATTAAACATAGAATTAACATATGATTCAGCAATTCCACTTGTAGGTACATACCCCAAAGAATTTTTTTTTTCTTTTCTTTGCTGCAGTACAGAAGTAAACCCCAAAGAATTGAAAACAGAAACTCAAACCGATTCTTAGACACCAATAGCAGCGTTATTCACAATATCCAAAAGGTGGAAACCACCCATGTCCATCTAAGAATGAATGAACAAACCAAATTCCATACAATGGATTATTATCCATCCATAAAAAGGAATAAAGTCCTTATACATACTATAACATGGACAAACCTGGAAAATAGTATTCCTAAATAAAATAAGCCAGATCAGAAATGACAAATATTGTATGATTCTATGTGTATAAGGAACCCGGAGACAGAAAGCATAATGAACGTTGCCAGGGATTGGGGGAGAGAGGGAAATGGGGAGTTAATGAGTACAGAGTTCCAGTTTGGGAAAATAAAATATTATGGAGATAAAAGGTGGTGATGGCTGCACAACGTGAATATATTCACTGCCACTGAACTCACACTTAAAAATTGTTAAAATGGTAAGTTTTATGCTTGTATACTTTACCACAATAAAATAACAAAAACAGAACAAAACAAAAACCTCTTTGGAGGGGACAGTTAAAATTGACAATAGGGAGCCCAGCGAACAGCACCCACACAGACCCCATTTTTCTCAACCGCCCCTAGCAGTCTCTGAATTAAGTCTGTTAGCACGTTTCCTCCCACAATGCTTTGCTTCGTTCTCCACCAAAACAAAGTAAAATCACAACTGAATATTGCAGGAATTGCCTGTGTAGTTCGGAAAGATCTTCACATAATCGTATAATTTTCAAGCAAACAATAGTCGACGGTTTTTTAAGCGAGTCCCAAACTCGCCTTTCTGTACTAGGAACCTGGCTTATAGGGAGTGATGAGCGGGGGGCGGAGCTCGTTAGCTTTGCGCAGTGGCAGTATCGTAGCCAATGAGGTTTATCCGAGGCGCGATTATTGCTAATTGAAAACTTTTCCCAATACCCCGCCATGACGACTTGCAATATAGTCGGCATTGGCAATTTTTGACGGTCCCCACGGGGACTGGATAACGAGGTTTTTGAAAAGCAGAATTTTTTTTTGTATGCGTGTATTTTTATGCAGGATTTGGAGATTTTTCTGAAGCGAGGTAAACAGTGGTTTTCGGGTAGTTATGGAAAGGTTTAAGTGGTGTGATCCTTGTTAGGTTTACCTTTTAGGCTTAATAATAAGGTTAAATGGTTGTTATCTTACGCTTTCGAGTAATTAGCTCCTGATATAACGCAGTTTTGTCTTTTTTTTGTACTTTTGCCCCAGCGGTTTTCGAATTTCTTTTTCTAAAAATGTCCCCCCTCAGGCCCTGCCCCGCCTGCCGTTTATGCAGCCGGGGGCACAGCTAGCTGTCCGCTTCCCGAACCCGCGGCTCACCCTCGTCTTCCCGCCGCTCGGTTTCTCCTCACTCAAATCTCAAGCCCTTAAAGACGGTCAGCTCTGTGACGTCAGGCCTATTTGCATAACATTCCCCAGCATCCCAAGCGAACGTTCTACGGTTTCCAAAAATCTGATTATTCCACGCGAGATGTTCAACAACGAGAAGCGTCCCACGCAGGAGGGGGGCTCTAGATATAACCGCTCGAGTGGGAACGCGTCCTGTGCGCGAGCGCGCTGGCAGCCACTCACCCTCAATGCAAAGGTGGTTGTCGTCCGTGGGGGAGCGGGGCGGGCGGGTCAGCTCTCCAGCTTTGCGCAGTGGCAGTATCGTAGCCAATGAGGTTTATCCGAGGCGCGATTATTGCTAATTGAAAACTTTTCCCAATACCCCGCCATGACGACTTGAAATATAGTCGGCATTGGCAATTTTTGACAGTCTCTACGGAGACTGAACTTACCGTGGTTTAAAGTAGAGCTGATGCGGGCTTTTGCCTGAATTTGTCGCGTTGTGTCGTTCTACGGCTTGCAGGTTGTGTTACACTTGCGTTTGTGTGTTTTGCGGGTGGCTTGAGCCTCGTTGCTATTCAATCTCAATACAGATTAACGAGTGGAGTTCCTGTTTTGCGATGGTGAGGCGGGCAACTCCACGCAGAGTATCCTGAATTTTGCGGAAAAGGAAGGAAACTGAAGCCGTCGCTTTAAAAGCCGCCAGGGAGAAACGGGTGTGGGAGGCTGGGCTTGCGCAGGTCGCGCTGTGGAGCCGCCGGCAGAGCCGGGGCTGAGGCAAGTTCTCTTGCTCCGGGCGCCGCGCTGCTTGCTGCCCGCTACGCCTCTCCTCTGGCCCCGTCCAGCAAGGCACAGCCAGCCAGGCCTGCTGAGGCCGCCGCCCGCCAAACACTCCTGTGGCCTGTAGCAAAAGAGTATCACCAAGGGCAAAGGTGGGGGTTTGTTTTTTTATTTTTATTTTTTACACAGAGTGCCCGTGGCCTCAGCCTAGCTCACAGCAACCTCAAACTCCTGGACTCAAGCCATCCTCCTGCCTCAGCCTCTCGAGTAGCTGGGACTACAGCCATGAGCCACCATGCCTGGCTACTTTTTTCTATATATTTTTCGTTGTCCAGCTAATTTCTTTCTATTTATAGTAGAGACAGGGTCTCGCTCTTGCTCAGGCTGGTTTCGAACTCCTGACCTCAAGCGATCCGCCCGCCTCGGCCTCCCAGAGTGCTAGGATTACAGGCGTGAGCCACCGAGCCCGGCCTTTTTTTTTTTTCTTCTTTATTTTATTTTATTTTTTTTAGAGATAGGGTCGTGCTGTGTTGCCCAGGCTGGAGTGCAGTGACTATTCACAGGCACAATTATAGCGACTAAAACCTCAAACTCCCAGGCTCAAGCTCCTCCTGCCTCAGCATCCCAAGTATCTGGGACTACAGACATGTACATCTTCACCTTGTGATTTTTTGAGATTAATTTTTTTTTTTCACTAAGTATAATGTTCTTGAGATCCATTCAGGTCATTGCATGTAATCAATCTCTTTTTCTTGCTGAGTAGTATTTCACGTATGGAAGTACCAGAGTTTGTTCGCCCTGTTGAAGGACATTTGAGCTGTTCCTAGTATTTTGCCATTACAAATAAAGATGAGAAAATTCCTGTACAAGTTTTTGTGTGAACCTAACTTTTTAATTCTCTGGGATAAATGTCCAAGTGTGTAATTGCTGGGTGGTATGGTAAGTGCATGTGCAGTTTTGTAAGAAACTGCCAAATTATTTTCCAGAGTGGCTATGCCATTCTATATCCCATCTGCAATCTTTTAAGGTCTAGATCAGTCCCCTCTGCCTTTTTTTCTTTCCTGTATGATATTGATATTTTGAAGAGTCCAAGACATTGTCCCCCATTCTAGCTTCATCTGATTGTATCCCCATGGTGTTGTTTAACATGTTCATCTGTCCCCTGTATTTCCTGTGAAGTGGAAGTTTAGACCTCATAACTTGATTAGATTTGGGTTAAATATTTTCGGAAGAGAACTTGAGAGGTGGCGTTTGTGAACTTTGTACTTTTTAATTCTCTGAGATAAATGCCCAGGTGTGTGCTTGCTGGGTCATATGGTACGTGCATGTCCAGTTTTAATTAGCAGCTTTATTTGTAATAGCAAAACACTAGAAATAAAATACTAGAAACAACTCAAATGCATCATCTAATATTGGTGATGCTGAGTTTGAGCAGCTGGGAAAGGCAGTGCTAGTCTCTCTCTTTCTCTCTACTGTAACAATAGTCTATGGGACGAATAACCTTTGACATAGGAACCATTTGATACTAAAAGCTCTTTGCTTTCCACAGCCACTCCCCTAAACCACTTCCTGATCAGGCATGAAGATGTGATGGCTGAATAAGACAAATTAACATCACTTCTCTGGAACCCAGGGCAGGTTTCCTAGGGCCATGCTGCATTCAGGGCTTCGCAGCCCCAGGAAGCAAAGAAAAGTCTCCCAACAAGCCAATGTGTCAGAACTGAGCAAAAGTGATGGAAAGAGACAGCTAGTGAGAACTACTCAAAGGTATATCCTGGAGACCCCAAGTTGATTACAGAAACTCCAAGAGGAACCAGTGTGTGCTGCCTAGAAGCTGAAATTTCAAGCAGCTATAAATATCCTTGATAGTGTGGTCTGAAAATGCACTCCCATCATTTTTCAGCCTCAGCTGGTTGCTGAGATGGCCAATCTGGGTCTTTAAATCCAGCCCAGAGGAAATAGAAGATGGATACTCCCTCCAATGGCAAATTCTGTATCGATCAGGAAGTCAGATGATGCCTTGATAATCCAAATATCAGAATTTTTTCCTATTTACCCCTCATAAGGTTGGAGAAGAACTCTTACACTTGTGGGTATATGGGATTAAGATGAAGTGACTGAGATACACATCTTGGGAGCAAAATTAGAGGGGTGCCTCAAACTGAGTAATCAAGGTAAATTATCTTTCTAAGCAAAATTAGGTAAGTGAGGGCTAGATATGCAAAGGCAGAGCTAGAGCCTATCTTTATGTGATTTTTATTTTGTTCATTATGAAATTTTTATATTAATTTTTATTTTTAAAACTATCACATTACAGTAGTATTTATGTGGTTTGCTAAGGTTTTTTTTTTTTTACGCTCCCTTAAACTTTGCACCCAAAGTGAATACCTCACTATCCCCACCCTAATCTCAGCTCTGCTTATGAACCAGCAGTTGGAGAAACTCACACACATGTGCCCAGGTGACACGTGCAGGGGCGCTGTAAGAAAAATTATCCACAACTTGGAAATAAGATGAAAAGAGGAGTATACGCCCTTTCAAAACCAAACTAAAACAGTGTTTCTTAAACTTTGGCATGCATAAAAATCACATTGAGAATTTTGTTACGACACGGATTGCTGGTCCTAATTCCTAGATTCAGATTCAGGAGCTTGGGGATGGAACCCAAGTTTCTGCATTTCTAACAAGCTCCGTGTGCAGCTGCTGCTGGTGGTTCAGGTTTCACAGCTTGAATGGTGAGGGCGGACCTATACCATTGTCTAGTGAGGGTCACTGACATTCTAGAGGAAAATCTGGGCTATCCTTTGCTATTTATTTTTTATTTTTTTTTATTTTTTGCTATGTTGACCAGGCTGGATTTGAACTCCTGGGATCAAGTCATGATCCCGTGTCAGCCTCCCAAGGAGCTGGGTCTACAGGCGTGTGCCACCACACCTGGCGATGTACATACACATCCTCCTTTGAGCCAGCTTTGTCATCATGCTACTTCCCCCATTAATGAGCTATCTTTGTCTTTGACGCACTGTTGCTGTACATTGATACAAGGGTCATGTTTTTAGCTTTAAAAATTATACTTTGAGGCCGGGCGCTGTGGCTCACACCTGTAATCCTAGCTCTTGGGAGGCCGAGGCGGGCGGATTGCTCAAGGTCAGGAGTTCAAAACCAGCCTGAGCAAGAGCGAGACCCCGTCTCTACTATAAATAGAAAGAAATTAATTGGCCAACTGATATATATATAAAAAAAATTAGCCGGGCATGGTGGCGCATGCCTGTAGTCCCAGCTACTCGGGAGGCTGAGGCAGAAGGATCACTCAAGCCCAGGAGTTTGAGGTTGCTGTGAGCTAGGCTGACGCCACGGCACTCACTCTAGCCTGGACAACAAAGTGAGACTCTGTCTCAAAAAAAAAAAAAAAAAAAAAATATTCATGGAGGCCGGGTGCGGTGGCTCACGCCTGTAATCCTAGCACTCTGGAGGGCCAAGGTGGGAGGATCATTCAAGGTCAGGACTTGGAAAACAGCCTAAGCAAGAGCAAGACCCCATCTCTACTAAAAAAATAGAAAGAAATTAATTGGCCAACTAAAAATATATAGAAAAAAATTAGCCAGGCATGGTGGTACATGCCTGTAATCCCAGCTACTTGGGAAGCTGAGGCAGGAGGATTGCTTGAACCCAGGAGTGTGAGGTTGCTGTGAGCTAGGCTGACACCATAGCACTCTAGCCTAGGCAACAGAGCGAGACTCTGTCTCAAAAAATGTATATATTCATGGAAATAATACACAGCCAACTTCAGTATAGCAATTATTTCTGGAGAGAGAAAGGGGGAGAAGAGATGGGAGGAAGTGGGACTTTAACTGTATCTGTAACATTTTATTTCTTAGAGAAAGAGAAATCTAAAGCAACTATAGCAAGAAGTTAACATCTGTTTAATTTTAGTGGCATCTGCTTTCTTATATTCTGTACCTTTCTGAAATGATTTATGGTTTGTAAAAAACCGTAAAAAAAAAAGGTAATACTGTATAAGCTCATTGTAGACAATTCAAAACTTATGGAAGGATATAAAATAAATAATCAAATTGCCTTTTTAACACCTTGCCCTCAAGCTCATCACATATTTCAGAGGGGACTCATAGTTAGTAGTGAAGGGATTTGCAGATAGTTTCCTATGCACACAGAAACCTGAAGAGAAAGAGTGTGTGTGGTTGTTATTTTTATACAAAACATGGCACCAAATTATATATACTGTCCTGCAACATGCATTTTCCCTGTCGTCATGAGACAGCTTAATTTATTAGTGCACAGAAATTACCTCATCTGTCTAACAGCTGCAAAGTATTCAATAGGATGAATATACCATAAAAATCAGTTTTATGTCAGTTTTACGGGTTTTGACAAATGCACAGTTTTGTTTTGTTTTTTTTTAGTAACAGGGTCTCACTCTTGCTCAGGCTGGTCTCCAACTCCTGAGCTCAAACAATCCTCCCACCTCGGCCTCCCAGAGTGCTAAGATTACAGGCGTGAGCCACGGCGCCCGGCCAATGCACAGATCTTGTGTCCACCACCCTTATAGAACAGTTCACAGAACAGTTCCATCACCCCCAAAAACTGCCCCGCAAAGCCACTTTGTAGACAAGCTCTCCCGCCTTCCCCAAGCCCTGGCAACCACTGACACATGTGATTTGTGTATGTATGTGATTTTCTTAGAATTTTTTTTTAAATGTTCACAATTTTATTTTATTTTTATTTATTTATTTATTTATTTTTCATTAAATTTTTTTTTCGGCATATTATGGGGGTACAGATTTTAAGGTTTCAATAAATGCCCATTTCCCACCCTCCCCCCAAAAGTCTGAGTCTCCATCATGACCATCCCCCAGATGGTGCACATCTCACTCATTATGTATGTATATACCCGCCCTAGAATTTTTAATCGTAAGTAAAACAATCACATATTTGTAAGCAAACACAATAAAGAAAAGCATGGGAAAAACACTGAAAAGATGAACAAACAGGTTAAGGAAAACAAAGCAATGTTTAAAAAAAAAGCCGGGTGCGAGACCTGGCATGGTGGCTCATGCCTGTAATCCTAGCACCCCGGGAGGCCAAGGCAGGCCATCCGCTCAAGGTCAGGAGTCTCTCAAGGTCTCTTTAGTAGAGACCCCCTCTCTACTAAAAATAGAAATAAATTAATTGACCCACTAAAAATATACATACAAAAAATTAGCCGGGCATGGTGGCACATGCCTGTAGTCCCAAGTACTCGGGAGGCTGAGGCAGGAGGATTGCTTGAGCCCAGGAGTTTGAGGTTGCTGTGAGCTAGGCTGACGCCACGGCACTCACTCTAGCCTGGGCAACAAAGCGAGACTCTGTCTCAAAAAAGAAAAAAAGAAAGTGGATCCATGTGATTTTTACATATTTTCTCTCTCACAATTTAATTTTTTGGTCTGATTACAAAATCACTGCATGTTTGTATATAAAATTCAAATATGATATATATGAAGCTGTGGCAATCAAAGACCCCCTCTGTAATTCTACTTCCGCCCCTATAAGATAGCCACAGGTAAGATTATTCCTCCAAAATGTTCTACTCATATGTCAACATAATTATTAACAAAAATTCTATATAGTTTTATTACTTCCTTTTTCTTTCTGCTAAACAATATATTGTGGACATGTTTTCCGTGTCAGCACCTAACTCCCCTCCTTCCAGTATGGATTTGTCCTACCAAGGTGAACCAATCCCCTATTGATGGACATTTGAGTTGTTTCCAGTTCTTCCAAATTATAAGCAATGCTATAATGAATACTGTTAAGGCTACGTCAGCCTTGCCTACCCATGGAATATTTCTGGGGGAAATTTCTATAGCTGGGTTTAGCAGCTCAAAGGCCATGTGTTGGTTTGAAGGGGTTGCCCCAAATTGGCACCCCTGTGATTATACCAATGTATCGTCCCAGAAAGCCACGTGTGAGAATACCTGGAGAATGGCTGAGGTATACATTTGTGAGAGTTCTGCAGCTTTCATGTGGCTCTTGTGGGTCAGGGAGGGAAAGAGGGGGAGGATGAATGTGCACCCCTTCCCCCGAGGCCCCAGCTCTGCAGTCCAGCTCCAACATTTGCTCATCTTCCAGCTCTTTTCCAGGCAGAGAGGAGGGCGAAGGGGCTGGGTTGGGTGAGGTAATCCTTGTCTTGGGGGAATCTGAGCCCATCCAAACCCAAACTGACCCTCTGCCTCTCCACTATGTATGGAGATATCCTTGGAAACCTTAGTGCTCCATAGACCCAACCCCCACCCTGCCTTGGAGGCTGCCTGGACCCGCCGGCTCCAGGGGATGGGAAAGGCTAACTCCAGAGGGCTATCTCGGTAGGAAAAGGGCCCACCAGCCCCCAAACAATCTGCACAGTGTTCAAGCCACTGCAGGATGTTTGCAAGAATCTCCAGCTTCTCAGTTAAAAATATCCCATGCCTGAGGGGCCCTCAGTGTCTGTCTTAGAACAGAGTTGGCTGTAAGCTTTGCAGCCTCTCCATTGGCTGGGGAAATTAATTGAAGGTAATTGATTTTATTTTATTTTTTCTGTGAAACTTTTTTTTTTTTTTTTTGGAGACAGAGTCTCACTTTGTTGCCCAGGCTAGAGTGAGTGTCGTGGCATCAGCCTGGCTCACAGCAACCTCACACTCCTGGACTCAAGCAATCCTGCTGCCTCAGCCTCCCGAGTAGCTGGGACTACAGGCATGTGCCACCATGCCCGGCTAATTTTTTGTATATATATTTTTAGTTGGCCAATTAATTTCTTTCTATTTATAGTAGAGACGGGGTCTCGCTCTTGCTCAGGCTGGTTTCGAACTCCTGACCTTGAGCAATCCGCCCGCCTCGGCCTCCCAAAGTGCTAGGATTACAGGCGTGAGCCACCGTGTAAAACTTTTTTGAAGCCAAGCTTTCTGGGTTCCAGTCCTGGTTCCACTATCACTAGCTTTGTGACCCCAGGCTGCTTACTTAACCTCTCTGTGCTTTGGTGTCCCTGGCTGTAAAAAAAAAAAAAAAAAGTCATGATCTTATCTATTTCAGAAGCCAGCAGATCTCCTCCACGCTAGCTGTGCAGGAGAACTGCCCAGGGAGCTTTTCAAATGCTCGTGCCCAGGCTGCATTGGGTCTGAGCAAAAAAATATATCAATATTTTAAAGCTTTCCAGGTGATTCCAATGTTCCTCAAAGGATGAGACCAACTGCCAGAGAGATTTTGTGGATATTAAATAAGATAATATAGAACAAGTGCTTTCCACTGGTGCCTGACACAGAGTTAAGTGCTTTCATAGGGGGTTATGGGACCAACTAGCTAAGCTTAAGTGGTGGTCAGGGAAGGCTTCCTGGAAGAGAGGGTAGCTGAGCTGTGAACTGAAACAAAAGTGTTAATCAGGACAAAGAGGGCAGGATGGATTTTAGCAGCAGTAACAGTACCTGCAAGTGTCCTAGAGCCTGGAGTATGTGGCCTCTTGGAGGAACTGAAAGTCACTCCCTGAGAATGGAGCTAAGAAGGGAGAAAGTAGGGAGAGTTGGGAGGAGGCACATTGCTATGGGTCCACTAATGAGATCAGAAATGAGTCCTCGAATGAGCCCAATTAGAAAATAATTGGGCTTTATTCTGGTGTGCTGAAGGTTTTAAGAAGGACAGTGACCCAGACCGTGCCCTTCCCCTGCATTCATAGGCAGCCAGGGTCTTCCCACGGTGTTGTGTCCAAGTCAACTGAGGATCCTGGACATGCCCAGAGGCTGCGGCACCACTCGACACTCGCCTTCCTGAGCCACGGCTTGGTCAGACAGTCTTGGGTGTGAATCCTGACTCTGCCACTTCATAGCTGTGGGGCTGTGGCAGGTGACTTCACTTATGAACTTAGGCTTCCTGGCCTGTAAGATAGGCATAAAACACCCATTGGGTTTTCGCAAGGATTAAATGAGATCACAATACAAAACACTTGACACCACGCTTCCCACATGTTAAACAATAAATGGGCGGGGTGCAGTGGCTCACACCTGTAATCCCAGCACTTCCAGAGGCCAAGGTGGGAGGACTGCTTAAGGCCAGGAGTTTGAGAACAGCCTGGAAAACAGAGAGATCTGGTCTATAAAAAAACAAAAAAATTAACTGAGGCAGGAGGATCTTTTGAGCAGAGGTGTTTGAGGCTGCAGTGAGCTATGATTGCACCAGTGCAGTCCAGCCTGGGCGACAAAGCAAGACCTTATCCCCAAAACAAACAAACAAAACAAAAAAAAAATTTTTTTTTTGAGACAGAGTCTCGCTTTGTTGCTCAGGCTAGAGTGAGTGCCGTGACATCAGGCTAGCTCACAGCAACCCCAAACTCCTGGGCTCAAGCAATCCTGCTGCCTCAGCCTCCCGAGTAGCTGGGACTACAGGCATGTGCTACCATGCCCGGCTAATTTTTTCTATATATGTTAGTTGGCCAATTAATTTCTTTCTATTTATAGTAGAGACGGGCTCTCACTCTTGCTCAGGCTGGTTTCGAACTCCTGACTTCAAGCAATCCGCCCGCCTCAGCCTCCCAGAGTGCTAGGATTACAGGTGTGAGGCACCGCGCCTGGCCAAAACAAATTTTTTAAAAAATTCAATACATGCTCCCAATAGTAATAATAATTATTATTGATTCACAACTTTGACTTCTGCAGTCTTTTAGTAACTGGATAAATCCTCAAGCCTGTCCTTTTCTCTCTTAGCCCTAAAGTCCTACCTGGGTACTTTGATGATAATTATGGCTACAATTAGCCCTATATTTGTTTTTTTACTGTTGTTGTTGTTGAATCTATATAACAACCATGGAAGACCGGGTGCAGTGGCTCACGTCTGTAATCCTAGCACTCTGGGAGACCGAGGCGGGTGGATTGCTCCATGTCAGGAGTTCGAAACCAGCCTGAGCAAGAGCGAGACTCTATCTCTACTATAAATAGAAAGAAATTAATTGGCCAACTAATGTATATATAGAAAAAATTAGCCAGGCCTGGTGGCGCATGCCTGTAGTCCCAGCTGCTTGGGAGGCTGAGGCAGGAGGATTGCTTGAGCCCAGTTGTTTGAGGTTGCTGTGAGCTGGGCTGAAGCCACAGCACTCACTCTAGCCAGGGCAACAAAGCGAGACTCTGTCTCCAAAAAAAAAAAGAAAAAGAAAAAACCATTGAAGATATATGTTTTATTATCCAGATTTTATCATTAAGGCAACTAAAGCTCAGAGTGGCTAAGTCACTTGCCCTAAACCACACAGTGATTAAGTATCAGACCTGTAGGACCTCACTCTCATTTTCCTGATGGGAAAACTGAGGCTCAGAAAGGTGAGATATTATTCCAAAGGCTGCAGTTGAGAGGTGGCAGAGCTGGGATTTGAACCCTTGCCTGTCTTGGGATACCTGGACACTAGATGTCCAAAGTCCCTCCTAGGACCCACACTCTGAGCCACACGTGGCTTAGCCTTGAGATAAGCCAGGAGAGGTTGGAAACTTTTGGTCTTGCTACCCGTATTCAGGGGCCCCAGGCATACCTTTCTGAACACCAGTACCTCCTTCCAGAATGCTCTTCCTGCAGACTCCCATTGGCCAAAAATCAGGTCAGGGTTAACTCTTTTCCAGGAGACATTTTTCAAGTCTCACTTGAATCACTCTTAACGCAGTTGATTCCCCTCATGTCAATGTCTGTAGTGTCGTTTTTAAAATGTAGTTTTATTTTATTTTTAAACATTAATTCATTTTGGGAATAGGTCAAATCGCATATGTGGTTCAAAATTCAAACGATTCAAAAGGGTATTTAGTGAAATCTCCTTCCTACTCTTGACCCTTGACCACCGTTTTCCCACTCCTGCACCCTGCCAGGTGACATTGGTGTGTATGTATTACTTATTCTTCCAGAGATGTTCCAGCATGTAAAAGCATCTTAAAAACAAATATATTGTTTTCTACTTTCTTATGCAAATGATACACATGTTACATATACTGCCGTTCACTTTTATTTTTTTTTAGATCTTGGCGGTTGTTTCATATCAGTACATCATGAGCTTTCTGGATCTTTTCTGTGGGTGCATAGTTTTCTGTTGTAGGACTGTATATTATTTATTTATTTATTTTGAGACAGAGTCTCACTCTGTTGCCCCGGCTAGCGTGCCGTGGCATCAGCCTAGCTCACAGCAACCTCAAACTCCTGGGCTCAAACAATCCTCCTGCCTCAGCCTCCCGAGTAGCTGGGACTACAGGCATGTGCCACCATGCCTGGCTAAGTTTTTCTATATATATATATTAGTTGGCCAATTAATTTCTTTCTATTTATAGTAAAGACGGGGTCTCGCTCTTGCTCAGGCTGGTTTCGAACTCCTGATCTCAAAGCAATCCTCCTGCCTCGGCCTCCCAGAGTGCTAGGATTACAGGCGTGAGCCACCGCACCCGGGCTGTATGTAATTTATTAACCAGTGCCCTATTGATAGGCATTTGGGTTGTTTCCAGTCTTTGCTCTTAAAGACAGCATTGCAGTTAAGACCCCTGTTCTGTCTTTGTTGTTAGTGCCATGATCTGTGAAGAACTTTCAGAAATTGATACTCACAGCTTCAGGATCCCCAAAGTCAGAACTAACTTGTTGTACTCGAGGGATATGAAGGAGGTCAGTGTGGCTGGAGCATAACGAACCAGGGTAGACTGGAAGAGGACTGAAAGATTAAGTCTTATCTTTTCCCTGCTTAAGACAAGACTCAAAGTACAGCCTTGGAGACCCTTGTAAGGACTTTGGATTATATTCTGAGTGCAACAGGAAATCAATGGAGTCATTAAGCAGGGGAACGGGGAGACTTAATTTACATTATTTACTTTTTAAAAATGTTTTATTTTTATTAGAGACAGGTTCTCATTTTTTTTTTTTTTTGAGACAGAGTCTCACTCTGTTGCCCAGGATAGAGTGAGTGCCGTGGCGTCAGCCTAGCTCACAGCAGCCTCAAACTCCTGGGCTCAAGCAATCCTCTTGCCTCAGCCTCCCGAGTAGCTGGGACTACAGGCATGCACCACCATGCCTGGTTAATTTTTTCTATATATATTAGTTGGCCAATTAATTTCTTTCTATTTTTAGTAGAGATGGCATCTCACTCTTGCTCAGGTCGGTCTCAAACTCCTGACCTCGGCCGGGCGCGGTGGCTCACGCCTGTAATCCTAGCTCTCTGGGAGGCCGAGGTGGGCGGATTGCTCGAGGTCAGGAGTTCGAAACCAGCCTGAGCAAGGGCGAAACCCCGTCTCTACTATAAATAGAAATTAATTGGCCAACTAATATATATACAAAAAATTAGCTGGGCATGGTGGCGCATGCCTGTAGTCCCAGCTACTTGGGAGGCTGAGGCAGGAGGATTGCTTGAGCCAGGAGTTTGAGGTTGCTGTGAGCTAGGCTGACGCCACGGCACTCACTCTAACCTGGGCGACAAAGTGAGACTCTGTCTCAAAAAAAAAAAAAAAACTCCTGACCTCGAGCCATCTGCCTCGACCTCGCCTCCCAGAGTGCTAGGATTACAGGCATGACCCACCGTGCCCAGCCCCCCCCCTTTTTTTTAACTTAAGCTTTATCCTATGTGATAATATTGGAGCTACACAGGTTTTGTGTGCTTAATTAGATATTTTTCTATATGCATAAATATATAATTATAGAATCTTTGTCCACATACCATTTATACATCTCTCATTCCACCAGTGGTACTCATACCATGTTTAGGGAAATTCTGCATGGGGTCACCCTGCAGTGTTGTGTCTCAAGTTAGTGCTCATGAGATGCATATTCTATGTTTATCTAAATACAATTGTTATGGACAGTGCTTTGTCAACACTTAGCAAAAAGACAACACATTTAACCTCAGACACAGCACTTCTACTCTCAGGACTTGATCTTCAGGAAATCATTAAGGATGTGCTCTAAGATTTAGCTATGAGGATGTTCTCAGCATCGCTGATTGTAGTGAAAATTTGGAACTAACTAAGTTTAACCGGGGGCCTGGTTAAGTAAATGCTGGTACAGTTATATGTGGAATGCTATTTTGTGCAAAGAAATGATGGATGTAGAATATTGAATGCATGAAAAGATGTTCACAAAATAGTGGTAAGTGAAAAAAGCAGGTTTCAAAGCAGTGTGCAAAAATATTAAAATATATATTTAAATATTTTATAGCTATGTGTATGTGTGTGTGTGTGTGTAAGAGAATGTCTAGAAGAATACACAACTAGTCATTCTTTCTTTTTTTTGATTATGGATAATTTTAATTTTCATCTTAGTTCATCTGTGTTTCATTTTGTTTTTGATTTTGAACTCCTGACCTTGAGCGATCCTCCCGCCTCGGCCTCCCAGAGTGCTAGGATTACAGGCGTGAGCTACCGCGCCCGGCCTGTTTTTGAGACAGAGTCTCACTCTGTCACCCTGGCTAGAGTGCAGTGGCTTCATCACAGCTCACTGTAACCTCAAACTCCTGGGCTCAAGTGATCCTCCTGCCTCAGCCTCCTCAGTAGCTGGGACTATAGGAATGTGCTACCACGTCTGGCTAATTTTTCTATTTTTTGTAGAGATGGGGTATCACTCTTGCTGAGGCTGGTCTCAAACTCCTGACCTCAAGCAATCTTCCTGCCTTAGCCTTCCAAACTATTAGGATTACAGGCGTGAGCCACTGCTCCCGGCCTTTTTTTTTTTTGAGTCAGAGTCTCACTCTGTTGCCTGGGCTAGACTGCTATGGCGTCAGCCTAGCTCACAGCAACCTCAATCTCCTGGGTTCAAGCAATCCTTCTGCCTCAGCCTCCCGAGTAGCTGGGACTACAGACATGGGCCACCATGCCCAGTTAATTTCTCCTATATATTTTTAGTTTGCCAATTAATTTCTTTCTATTTTTAGTAGAGACGGAGTCTCGCTCTTGTTCAGGCTGGTTTCAAACTCCTGACCTCAAGCGATCTTCCTGCATCGGCTTTCCAGAGTGCTAGGATTACAGGCGTGACCCACCAAGCCCGGCCAATCTTTTTTTTTTTTCTTAACCCTCTCTTTCTTCCCAATACCAATTAGTGTAGTGCTAAGCTTAATTCGCTAAGTGGGTGCTAAATAAATGTAATTCATGCAACATATTTTTATCGAGCACCTACTACATGCCCTGTGTCAGGCACTCGGGATAGAGCAGTGAACAAGTGGCCTCCACCTTTCTAAAGTCTGGAGTCTAGGTGGGCACAGTGGCTCACGCCTGTAATCCTAGCACTCTGGGAGGCTGAGGCAGGCGGATTGCTCGAGGTCAGGAATTCGAAACCAGCCTGAGCAAGAGCAAGACCCCGTTTCTACTATAAATACAAAGAAATTAATTGGCCAACTAATATATATATAGAAAAAATTAGCCGGGCATGGGGGCACATGCCTGTAGCCCCAGCTACTCGGGAGGCTGAGGCAGCAGAATTGCTTGAGTCCAGGAGTTTGAGGTTGCTGTGAGCTAGGCTGACGCCACAGCACTCACTCTAGCCTGGGCAACAGAGCGAGACTCTCTCAAAAAAATAAATAAAGTCTGGAGTCTAGCAGGAGACAGACACAAACAGCAAGTGCATAAGAATTATTTATAATACTTACAATCATGATGAATGCTTCTAGGGTGATAAAAAAAGATCTTAATAACAGGGGCTCTCACATAGTTGAACAGGTCAGGGAATGCTTTCCTGAGGAAATGGATTTTAGGTTTAAAATCCAAAAAATAATGATGAGTGCTGACATTTAAAACAGCAGTGTCTAATGTGGTAGCCACTGGCCACATGTGGCTACTGAGCAGTTGAAATGTGGTTAGTGGGATTGAGATGTGCTGTAAGTGTAAAATACACACCAAATTTCTTGTAATTTACTTTATAAGACTTCATACCAAAAAAAGTGAGCTATCTCATTGATATTTCTTTATATCAATTATAAGTTGAAATGATAACATTTAGGATATATATTGGATTAGATAAAATATATCATTAATGTTACTTTTACCTGTTTCTTTTCCTTTTTTTTTTTTTTTTTTTGATGTGAGACCCCAACTTAAATCTTTTCCTTTTTTAATGTGGCTACCAGAAAATTTTTAACTGGGCCGGGCTCTCATGCCTATAATCCTAGGACTCTGGGAGGCCGAGGAGGGAGGATTGCTTGAGGTCAGGAGTTTGAAATCAGCCTGAGCAAGAGCGAGACCCTGTCTCTACTATAAATAGAAAGAAATTAATTGACCAACTAATATATACAGTAAAAATTAGCCAGGCATGGTGGTGCATGCCTGTAGTCTCAGCTACTTAGGAGGCTGAGGCAGGAGGATTGCTTGAGCCCAGGAGTTTGAGGTTGCTGTGAGCTAGGCTGACGCCACGGCACTCACTCTAGCCTGGGCAACAAAGCGAGACTCTGTCTCAAAAAAAAAAAAAAAAAGAAAGAAAGAAAATTTTTAACTGCATTCTGTTTTTCTAGTGGGTAGAGCTGAGTTTACAGTGCTATTTGGTGGTGACAAAGACCATGCTTAGTACTAAATGTGTAGTTTCTCATGTAGTCCTATATGACTCTGAGAGGTAGCTATTATTAATCTTTCTATATGGGAGGAAACTGAGGCACAGACAGTAAATTCCCCAAGATTAACCACTAGCAAGAAGCATAGCTAGGATGTGAGCCTGGGTGGAGTCGGTTCGTGGATCTGTGCACTTTGCTATTGACAGAGAGGCCTGTGGGTTGGGACATTAAGAAACATCCGGAGTGGTCTAAGCAGAGGAAACAACACATGTGAAAAGGTAGACATTTCATGGACTAGATGGACCTTGACTCATTGGACTGTAGAAGGATCCCGGGGAGAGTCTGTTTTCTTCGGGGCCTTTACCCCACCATGAAGACCCTGAAATTGGTTGTTTTGTTTTGTTTGTTTGTTTGAGACAGAGTCTCACTTTATTGCCCAAGCTAGAGTGCTGTGGCATCAGCCTAGCTGACAGCAACCTCAAACTCCTGGGTTTAAGCCATTCTCCTGCCTCATCCTCCCAAGTAGCTGGGACTACAGGCATGCACCACCACACCCGGCTAAATTTTTCTATTTGTAGCAGAGATGGGAGTCTCACTCTTGCTCAGGCTGGTCTCAAACTCCTGATCTCAAGCGCTCCTCCTGCCTTGGCCTTCTAGAGTGCTAGGATTACAGGCGTGAGCTACTGTGCTTGGCCCTGAAATTGGTTTTGAAGTTAGCAGGGCTGTCCATCTGTCCTGTCGATGTTTAGGAAGCATGAAAAAACCTGATTGAGCTAATCAAATGCAATGGACTGAATATTTTTGTCCAAGCACCATTAAATGTCTCACCATTGAATGAATGAATGAGTGATCTCCCTATTTTAATCTTCAGTTTCTCCCATTAAACTATGAACTTTCTCAGGACAGGAACTTTGGTTTGCTTGGTTCCAAGTGTTAGGCACAATGCTTGCCAGTCCATTCAGAAAATTTGTACAGATATTGGGCACCTATAATGTGCCATACATATACCAAGTGTGGATTTGTAGTGAGCAGAAATGGACTTGGTTGCTGCCCTTACCTGTTCATGATCTGATATGGAGAGACACATTTATCAAATAATCCTACCTCTAAACATAACTTTCAGTGGTGGGAAGTTAGCAGGGGTCCTCAAACTTTTTAAACAGGGGGCCAGTTCACTGTCCCTCAGACCGTTGGAGAGTGCAGCGCACATTCCACACATGCGCACTGTGGGCCCAGGACAAGTCGGCTGCTAAGCAGGACAGGCAGCAGTGGCAAAAACACCCAGCGGGTGTACAGGGGTCCTCAAACTATGGCCCAAGGGCCACAGAAGTACATGAAAGATGTTGAATAAAACAACAACAAAAGACAAAAAAAAGAAAGAAAGATGTTGGAAGAGCATGCAGTAGGGTGACTGCCTGGTTGGGGAGCAGTTTTGGCTCTGGAATTTTAAAATAGGAGGATGTGGAGGCTCCAGAGGTGAGCAGCTTTAATCTGCCTTCAAAAAAGAGGTAGTGGCCGGGCACAGTGGCTCATGCCTGTAATCCTAGCACTCAGGGAGGCCGAGGCAGGAGGATCGCTTGAGGTCAGGAGTTTGAGACCAGCCTGAGCAAGGAGTGAGACCCCATCTCTACTAAAAATAGAAAGAAATCGGTTAGACAACTAAAAATATATAGAAAAAATTAGCCGGGCATGGTGTCACATGCCTGTAGTCCCAGCTACTCGGGAGGCTGAGGCAGCAGGATCACTTGAGCCCAGGAGTTTGAGGTTGCTGTGAGCTGGGCTGATGCCACAGCACTCTAGCCCGGGCAACAGAGTGAGACTCTGTCTCAAGAAAAAAATAAAAAAAGATAGTTATCCAGCTCGAGAAGTGACACCTCCAGATATAGTGCCTTGGAGGTGAGGCACTGCTCTTTCTGGGCACCCCCAGCCAATGCTGAACATGGTGGGAATATTGGGGCCTGGACACTTCAGCCCCATGGGGACTCTATTTTTTTTGTGCCCTGTTGTGTTGGCCTATCTTTGTCAGATCTGAGCCTCTCCTTGCCCAGTCCTGCTATTTCCCCTTTCTCTGTCACAGGCATCACCCTGGACTTGATCTCAGCATCTCCTTCCTGGAAGACCTGACCCGACACAGAAAGACTTGGGGGCTGGATTTTTGAGTGACAAAAGGACTTTGAGAACCTGAAGCTGTGCTGGTAGAGCATTTTTATATAAGATCCATAACTTACCACCACCCATCCCAAAGTGTAGGGAAGCACTGATGACAGGATAATAACAACTAACTTTATGATAATTAATTTAGACAATAGCTATATAGTATCTGTCTTTTCAGGGGTTCAATACATGGTAGCTAAGTTTCCGAGTGTGTGGAAACAGAGCCCCTCGGGGAAACTGTGTTTCACACTGGGTGTAACTTTCCTGTAGATTTCCCTTTAATGTCTAACGTCTCATGCAGTTTTGGAAAAGTCTCTAGGGAGGGTGGATGTGTGGGAAATTAAGAGAGACATAACCACAAAAGTATTGGATTTGGGACCCGAAGGCTGAGTTGCAAGCTAAACTGCCACCGGTCCAGAGGGAGACACCAGGAAAGGTCCTCCAAAGGCTCCCGGCCCTGCCCGGTACCGATTTACAGTCCTCCTGGGAGGTGACCTACCGGGAGACAGACAGACGGACAGGTGGACAAACCTGACTCTCCAGGGGACAGGCATGTGATGGCCGAGTGACTGATGAACGGGCAGACGCATGGCAGAATGTGGCCGAGTCTGCCAGCGGCGAAGGTCAGGCGAGTGATTTTGAGAGGGACAGAGGCTGATGGGCGTGGCCGAAGGCCTGGGAGTCGCCCACCTGCCCGCTCAGCCGCGAGGGGGCGCCGCCGCCCCGCCCAGCAACGCCCACCGCCCGGGCTGGGCGCGCGCTCGCGGGCCGGCGCGGGGGGGCCAGCGTGCGCACGGGGCGGGGCCAGCACCCCTCGGGCGGCCGGGGCGGGCGCGCGTGCACGGGGCGGCCGGGGGCGGCCGCGCGGCGCGGCGGCGGGCGCGCGGCGGCGGCGCGTTCCGTTCCGGGCCGAGGCTCGCGGCGGAAAAGTTGCGGGGCTGGAGGAGCGGCCCCGGGACGGGCAGCGAGCGCGACGCCGAGCCGGCTGCCGGCGCCCGCGGTCCGGCCATGGACGACCTCGGTGAGTGAGGAGGAGGCCGACGGGGGAAGGGGCGAGGGGCGCGCGGCCCCGGGCCGGCCGGGCGCGAGCGAGCGGCGGGGCAGCGGGATGCCACCCCCCGGCGGCCCGGCCTCGGCTCCTGTCCCTGCCGGCGGAGGCTGTGCGGGGCCGGGATCCCGTGCTGGGCCCGAGTCCCGGGCCAGGCCGGCTCCGCCGCGGTCCTCACAGCAGCCACCCCTGCTGCGGGACGTCTTCACTCCTGGACGCTTGATCCCGGGGCCCCACTCCCATCTCCCAGAACGGCCCCAGGCACCAGCTCGCCCCTCAGGGACGCACCCCGTCCGCCTCGGGGACGAGACCCCCGCTTCCTGGACCAGACCGCCTCCCGAGCTGTGGGACCCTCACTTCACAGACCGCTCCCCACCCCCCGCTCACAGACAGACCGCCCAGCTCCGGGAGCAGCTGCCTAATCTCATGGGCTGGTCGCTTATTTCCGGGACCTGCTCCTACCCACTCCAGGGCCGTGCCCTACTTCACAGACTGTCACCCCCACTTCAGGGGTAGCCCCTCTGAGCCCACCTCTTTCATTTCACAAGTCAGATGCACAAGCTAGAGATGCACAAGCTTCGAACGACCACACCCCCATTTCAAAGACAAGTTTCCCAGTCTGTCTGCTCCACCAACCCCCCACGTCCAGTCTGGCCACCCGTTTCATGGGCCAGTCGCTACATTTCCCTGACTGCTCTCCCCGCTTTGCCTCAAGCCACAGGCCAGCCCCTCTCCCTTCATACCTAAGCCTAGGAGGGTAAGTTGGAGAGTCCCGATTCTCCCCCCCCTCCCAGCCCCTGGTGAAATGCCAGGGGAATGAGGTGGGAAGTTGGCCCCAAGGTATTCCCTCCCTGAACTTGTCCTGGCTGGCAGGGTCCCCCCTCCCCCATCCCCCAGCATCAGGCCCTGCTGGAAGCCACACAGGTAAGGAGGATAGGATGCCCAGAACAGAGTTTTACTGTTTTCCTGTTATTGGAGCTCCAAGACTGCTCTTTTCAGTCTAGTCTTGATCTGGTGTTTTGGCCGGGGAAAGAAAGTATCTCCTGGAAGCAGACTCCAGACCCAAGGGGGTTGGTGCCAGGGTTCTAGGAATGCCTTGGGGTGGTGTGAACACAGGAGTGGGAGGATTCACTGTCTCCCTCCCCTTCACGCCTGTAGCTGGAGGGCCCTGAGCTGGGGAGGTGAGGAGGGGGGAAAAGTTTCTTCTCTGTAGGAGCCTTGTCTTTCCTCTCTGGACTGTGGGTGGCTTGTGTGACCACTGGTACTTCCTCTGTCCCAGGCTCTGAGGAGTAGATTCATCAGACAGGACTGATGGGCCTCTCCCAGGCAGCACTGGGCACTAAGTTAAGACTGGCTATTTGTAGGCACTGAACTTGACTGCTTCCCAGCAGCTTCCTTTTGGGATCAGGGTGCCCCTGAGAGATCCTGGAGCTGGGGGTGGTGTAGGGTCCTGCCTGTTTTGCAGAGTGCAAGGGCTGCCAAGCATAGTTCTGCCTTTGGGTCAGGCTTGGCACCCATTTTTCCGACACACTTAAGGTTGGCATAGCTTCCAGGCAGGTGTTTTTTTCACATAAAAATAACTCTGCTGAAAGGAGGCTGGGGGATGTTCTTTGAATCAGGATCTGAACGTCTCCGTGCTTTTCCAGTGGGAACTGGGAAGCAGAGTTACAGTTTCTAAAATGCTGGTGCAGTTCTGCTGCTTCTCCGAAGTCCCCGTGCTGTTTGAAAGACTGAGAAACTCTTTGTAAGAGTTCGCAGTCGATGTCCGGAATTCCTGTCTTCTGACAGTCTTCCATTTAGGGCCAGGAAACTGAGATAGTTCTGAAAGGAAAGAGAATACACTATACTGGCAGAGGGGATTATAGAAATTTAAATTTGCTGTTTGTGGAGTATTTCCCATACCTTGATTTGTCCCATCCTTACAATAATCCTTTCATAAGATCCTCCTTAAGGCTGCTGTTATCATACCCATCCACCTTTTACAAACTGAGAAAGCAAAGACTAAGAGAGGTTGATTCTCTTGCCCAAGGCAGCACACCATGAAGTGACAAAACCGTAACTAGAAGCCCAGTCCCTAGGTCCTAGATCTGCAGCTCTTGTATACAGGGAAGCCTTTCTTCCTGGGGAGGGGTTGCCACCGGCTGATGGCTGCCACCTGTAACTTCTGCCACCTTCCACCATAGGCTCCCAGTTGCTTGGATCCTGGCTACCCAACTTCCTTGGCCTGAGCTCCCAGGGGGCCTGCCACGCCTGGCTGACTGGAGCCTGGGGTGGGAGGAGTGGGGTGTGCAGGAGGGGAGAGGAATTTGCCTCTGTGCTGGGGCCCCGTCAGCTGTCTGGATGGCTGCTCAGCGAACTGTGGGTCAGCTGTTTTCCTTAGTTAGGGTGGACACAAAGGCCGGGCCTCTTGTTTTTATTTTTCTCCTGAGAGTGCTCTGAGCTGTGAGCCTCCTCGTCACTAACACAGGAGAGAGTCTGTGGTCTGTCCTGTGGCAAGTAAAGCCAGAGCCTCCTCTGTGACTTTGTTTTTTGGTCTAGAAAAAAAAATTGGGGAAATCATCTCCCAATAGCTGCCAATGACAGACTCACCATGTGCTGTTTAATAAGTTACAAATTTATAGCTCTTTGGGCAGAAAAACATAAACACAGTGTGTCCTGCCCTTCTCTGTGTGTTCTCCCCGCTTTGTGCTGTGGAGTGGCTGCTTGGTGGCTTTTCTCATTACTGTTTAGATGCTGGTTTGGCCTGGAGTTCGCTCTGTTTGAGTTCTGGCTGGAGTTTCCTGGACAGAGTTCCCATAACACTGAGATGCACTCTGACTATGTTTTCTAACTGGACTCCTTGCTCTCCTCTTGTTCACGTTCTTAGTGTACTTATGTGTGCGGCAGTGGGGAGCGGTGGGACGGTGGGGGGGCAGTTGACCACAACCATGGTCTAATAATGACCATGCGCGCTTGATGGGAGACAGGTACCGTGCTCAGCACTTTATGAATATTATCACAGCCATTCCGAGAGGGAGGTGTTTTATCTCCACTTTACAGATGTAGAAACCTGAGCTCAGGGAAGTTCAATGGTAGAGCTGGGCTTTGAACTCAGACTGATCCAATTTCAGATCTGGTCATCTGAATCATAATAAGGTAGTAGGTGCTGGTGACTAACCAGGGGATGAGCTATGAGGCCTGCTGAGTAACTGATAGTTACCTTTAAAATTTCTGCCCTAGGGACCATTCCTAGGAAATGGCAAAGGGTGGGTCCAGTGTAGGACTTGGTAGCTTTACCTTCCCATCCTCTAGCAGGGGGGACAGCCAGCTGTTGGCAGTGCCCAGTTGCTGCTGGAATCTGGACATGTCTTCTTTCAGCGTCTCAGCAGTCTTGACCCTTTGGAAAACAGTGCCTCATTGTCCTTGGGGGTAGTGCTAGGGGGCTGGGGAGTTGCCTGGGGCATTCCGGACTATGGAGCCTCCCTGTTTCCATGGAAAGTCTGGACTTTGGGCTTGCCTGTCTGTGGTGCCTCTGTGTTTTAGGGCAGAGTCAGGGCACCCAGCTGCTGGGCCTGGGGCAGAAGCAACATTTGCCCATGAAGTGACAGTACCCTCCTGGCGGGCTCTGCGTCAGCACCAGACCTAGTAAGGGGCAGAACAAACCTTGGTGTGTTTGATTCTTAAGCAGGTGCCCTTTCCAATATGCTGAGCTGTCTGCTGCCTGGACAGCCATAGCTTGATGTGGAAAGGCTCCGGCTGCTGGGGGCCAGAGCCCCATCACTGTGGGGTCAAGGTCTTCTGAGGGATATCTCAGTTTTCCCTTTTTCTAGCTTCCCTAGTAATGGCCATGCATTGAAGAGGCTGGGTGGGCCCTTGGCTGGGGAGGCCGATGGAAGGCAGAGTTACTGCCGAGGCTCGGGGCATCTCTCTGCCACCATTTAGTCCCTGTGCATGGAGTATCTGACCCTCTGATGCTTCTTTCAGGACTTTACCTTATTCCAAGGCCAAATATGTTGAAAAAACTTTCAGCTTCATTCCAGCCTTTCCCTGGGTGGTCCTTGGTTTCAGTTTCTTCATTAACAATAAAAAACATCTGTAGAACACTTTTCTTTTTTACAGTGTTTACAGTATTCTTTCCCATAGTATGTACTGAGCACTTACTGTGTGCATGCGCCGTGCTGGACACTTGCTGTGTGCAGGCACCGTGCCAGAAACAGTTCAATGCATTGTTTCATTGAATCATGCTGGGCATCTGAGACAGGTTCTATTACAATTATCAGTAGTGGGAGTATTGCCACTACTCACCTTACCGATGAAGAAACTGAGGCACAGAGAGGATGCTCAAGTTCTACAGCTATCAAGTGGCAGGGCTAGATTTGAATCTAGGTAGTCTGACTGGAGAATGGACCTTGTAACCAACCATTCTTTACACTGCTGTTCATGATACTGGATCTCATCTTTTTTTTTTTTTATTTTTAAACATTTTTTTGTAGGGATGGGGGGTCTCACTATGTTGCCCAGGCTGGTCTTGAATCCCTGGCCTCAAAGAATCCTCCCGGCCAGGTGTGGCGGCTCACGCCTGTAATCCTAGCATTCTGGGAGGCTGAGGCAGGCGTATTGCTCGAGGTCAGGAGTTTGAAACCAGCCTGAGCAAGAGTGAGACCCCATCTCTGCTATAAAATAGAAAGAAATTAATTGGCCAACTAATATATATACAAAAAATCAGCCGGGCATGGTGGCACATGCCTGTAGTCCCAGCTACTCTGGAGGCTGAGACAGGAGGATCGCTTGAGCCCAGGAGTTTGAGGTTGCTGTGAGCTAGGCTGATGCCACAGCACTCACTCTAGCCAGGGCAACAAAGCGAGACTCTGTCTCAAAAAAAAAAAAAAAAAAAAAAGAATCCTCCCATCCCAGCTTCCCAAAGTGTTGGGATTACAGGCGTGAACCACTGTGCCTGGCCTGGATCTCATCTTGGTTGCCTATTGCTTTGATTG